TTTTAATTGACAATTTGTAATAAGGATAATTTGAGGATATGCAAAAAAAAAAGGTGACACGCTTGCAAATGTTTTAAAAACGTGGCATTTTTGTAAAGTGGCATGGAGCATGTGGCATTTCTTAAAATTTCTCTAGAAATATAATAATTATTTAACAATATGTTGTAGAATTTAACTAAACATCAAATAATAATAAAACGACAATAAATAAATATTTGGCAGACTCTCAATCATTGGTTTCACATTAAAATTCTTAAGATATGATTTTGTTTTCTACTTTTCAATTATTTTTATAAGTTATTAAATATCGTATTATATAAAAGAGGATGTGCGCGATGAGAACATGACACGTAAAGAAAATTATAGGTCACCATATCGCGACATGTGTCTTATATTGATTAGATAATGACACGTGTTAATATTTTAAATTAACAAAAAGAAAAAAGAAATAGAAAACGGTTAAAATAATTGTCAAAAAACTAACTAAATTGTAAAAAAGTTAAAAACAAAATTATATTTCAAATTAATTAGTGAAAAGGAAAACTTCTACTAATTAATCGGAAAAAGCCTGGAACAAAGCCCAACGTAGATAACGTGGTTTCAGTATATATATAATATCAAAGATCAGAGTGGCTTTCATTCATCGAGCAGAGAGTATTAATTTAGGGTTTAACTCTGTCGCAATGAGAAAACGTATGCAGGAAGACACGGCAGAAAACCTAACCGTATCCCAATCCGATAAGCCATGTTCAAGCTCTGGTGGAAACTTTGATATGATCCTGTTGATCCCGTCATCATCTGTAATCCGATCAAGTCTCCGGATCCACCGAGGTTTCTTTTCACCTTCTTGGTTCCAGAAAAGTTGGTATTCTTCTCTTCACCTCAACTTCAAAATCCAGACGAGAACTTGTCCCTTGTAGCCACTCATCATCATAATATAAATTCCGACAAATATTTATATAAATTGTGTCGGCCTGTCCATGGATTGGTATGTCGTCAACTTAAGGGACAGAAATTTATGATCTCTAATCCCATCACCGGAGAATCTGTAACCACACCCCAAACGGCTTGAGGAGGATATGGAGTCAAAGGCCGAATATTATTTTGGGTATGATCCAATCGAGAAACAGTTCAAGGTATTGTGTATAACATGGGGGTTTCCTGAGTTATATCTTCAGCATCACGTTCTCACATTAGGCACTGGAAATCTCATCTGGAGAAAAATCCAATGTTGCAAGCCTTCTCATAATGTTCAAAGTCGGGATGATGGGATATGCATCAATGGCGTTGTGTATTATTATACAGAAATGTTTAGTATTGTTTGCTTTGACGTTAGGTCTGAGAGATTTGATTTTATTCCCGGAAAACCTTCTGCTTTGGTAGACTACATGGGTAAATTAGGTGCGATTGATGTTAGTGAGGAACTGGATCTTGTTTTGTGGGTTTTAGAGGATGCCAAAGAGCGTAAATGGTCAAAGCATGTCTACGAAAATCCTTATCCATGGTATTCCATAGCTGGAATGACAGATAGTGGAGATATTGTGTTGTACCCAAACTATGTAGCAGACAATCAGTTCTTCATCTCTTACTACAATCTCGAGAGCAAAGTTATGGTAAAGGTTAGAGTTGATGTTCCAGGGTTTGATTTTCGTAAATGTCTTAAAATTTATGCATTTCCAAACAATGTAGAGGATGCAGGGGCGAAGCCATTATGGTTTTGGGAAGGGCCATGACTTTTGAAAATTAAACTAGTGTTATTTAATAACATTTTCCTCTTCATCTATTATTTTATGATATGTTATTTAATACTAGTTTTTTAGTTTTGCACCGGATAACAATAATTTCTAGTTCCCCAAAGGTTGTGAAGCTTATTATATAAGTGTTTTACTGGATTTTTATTTTACTTGTTCAAAGCTATTTCAAGGTTTCAAAAATTTGTGACACAAAGTCATCAGTGGTTTTTTGTTTCTACTCCACCAACATCTGCTTTAATAATCGAAGCTATGGACATACAATTGAGTTATTTTAGTGACAAATATCACATTACGAACTGGAATCTTTGTTCACATGCGAGCAAATGTTTAATCACTAAAGAGCTATTGAACCAAATATGAATTTTCTTTTCTTTATAACTCCATATATGCAGGCGTGAAAGCTAATTAAGTATCAAAAGATACATCTAATCAAGCTCTCCGAATATAAATTGCGTTTTAACTTCATTGGTTGACTTAAGCATATATCCTCACTACAAGAAAATATGACAAAAACTGACGGATGTTCTGACAGATATATGCCGTTGGTAAACTTTTGACAGGTTTCCAACGGATTTTCGACAAACCTAAAATGGTCAGAAATCCGAAGGATATCTGTCGGATTTTTCGACGGAATTAATGCGATCAGTAATCCATCACAAATTCCGACTGATATCCTACGGACTTCCAAGCATACCTGACCAATTCTTAACAGTCGGAATTCCGTCAGAAAAAATCTAGATGAGTAAATCCGGATGAGATTAAATTAGTAAATTTCCTGATGTGAGCGTATTTAGATTTTGTAATTTTTTTTTAACTATTTCAAGTTTTTGTAATGTTATAATGAGATTATTTTTTCAGAACTTAAATTATTCATGTTTTGAAAATTTACATAACTCATCCAAGCTTCTATAATGTTAAACAATATGTTGATGAATTTATATCGTATCTGTCAGAAATCCATCGGATAATCCGACGGATTTTCAACAGATTTTATGATTTAGGGTTTATAAATGTGTCGTTTAAGGTAATTACGCTTGACTAAAGTTTGTTTATAAACTGTTTTGAGTTTCATAAAAACATTTTTTCCTAAGTTTATCTACGCAACTAATAACTCTTTCCCCTTTGTAGCTTGTTTCAACAAACAAAATCGCAAGTTTGGGATTGATCGACTTCCGGATCGAGACGATGCGACCTCTTCTTCTACGTCTTACGACTCCGCGCATCTTGTGAATGAAATCTGAGAGGTTGAACGAGCGACTCAACGAGGAGCGAACGGAGCAAGAGAAGAAAGAAGAGGAAAATGAAGTAATTTTGGCGCCGAAAAAAATTAATATAAATATTGGCGTAGATAAATAGCCATAATAGATTTATTCATATAAATATTTTTCCGATTTCGTCGGATTTCTGTCAGATATTGTAGCATCGAATGCCCATCGGTAGCTTTCTGATCAACACTACTGTCGGTTTTTCGAAAAATGGCCAAGCGTTAGTAATATGTCACAATTTTCGACAGAATAATTTTGTCTCTAGCCCGTCGGAAATTCAGACAGATTACCGACGGATTGAGTTTTCCAACGACACGGATCCAACGGCTTTCGCACGTTGAATTTCCGTCGGAAATGGCTGTTTCCAACGGATAGCTAACGGTTTTGCTCGTCAGTTTTGCCGTGTTTTCTGTAGTGCATGTCCTAATCCTAAACAAAGCCCAACTTGTCTTCTACGTAACAAAGCTTCACCTAAACGTAACGTGGTTTTAGGTCTTAGCATAATATCAAGAAACTCCAAGATCAATCGAGGAAACTTTACTTCATGTTAGCCGAGGTTTTCGGTCAGAAAAGTAGTGAAAAAATTACTCTCGCGTGAACAAAGAATCAAGCTTAACCAGTGAGAAGCGAGATCCCTTCCATACCTCTGATATTTGCCATCCTTCACGCAAAGGTTCTAAGAGACACATGCAAAAAGCGTTATAATAAGATCTGATAAACGGGAAAACAAAATCCAACAAGCGGAACTAATATAAACATCTAAATCGCTCTCTTTCTCAAAATATTGAAAGAGAGAAGAGAGGGCCTTCGTTTCTTCCACAACCTCTCCTATGTCTTGTCATTGTCATTTCTCCAATTATACTTGCTTACATGGTTTTCTATCTAAGTGACTTTTTTTTTTGTTCAACACATTGTTCATTAGCTTAAACTTGAATCATACAAGAAGAGAGAATTAAACATCCTCTTAACTTTCCACAACATACATTAAACGCAATAAAACTTAGGGCAAATAAATCATCGCGAAAGATGGACAGCGGATTCGAGGAAGGCCTCAAATGCGTCAAGATCGTCATTACGGCTAAACCGGAGACTATTGGTTTAATCACTTTGCATCGTAACTTTAGAATACTACCCATACCTCCGAGTTTCCTCATGACGATTAGGGGATTGATCGGATTTGAATCCGAGAAGAACCTTACTCTCACTAGGAGAAGGAAAGGTGATCAAGTTCTCTTGAGAAAGGAAGAAGGTGCAGGATTTGGGATGGTGGAGTTGATAACCAGATCGAAGACTCATGGCGAAGCAACCTGGAGATGGCCGCAAAAGTTTCGAGAACTCTTCTGGTCCCTTTCCGATCTTGTGCCGTTAAGATGGAGAGAGATCGCCGGATTGAGCTTTTGGTGGTGGTTCCTGAGAGCGGATAGGGAAGACAAAGGTGCGGCGGGCAGATCCGGACTCATACTCCGCTTTTTATAACCGACACCCGAGTAAGTTAGTTGATGTCGGGCTTCCGATGGATCCGTTAGTGAAATGTGGTGGAAGCCTGATATTGTGCAACGGTGGTGTACGGTGGAGGAGACGGAGGAGGTCCACTGAGGTGGCTTGGATTGTGAAGAAGGGAGTTGAAACTCTTCGGTTTCTAGCCGATAATAGATCCGAACCACAAGGGCACGTAATTGACACAGAAATCTTGTTCTTAGAGAGAACAAAAGAGATCCAAATCTGAGAACATCAGACTAGGCCGGCGAGCAAAGGCACCACCAGCGTCGGAATCGGAGAAGGCTTTGGTTGTCTCGATTATTGTACCCGAGAGAGAGCGGCTGACCTAAGTATCTAATTGATTATTTATTTTAATATTTTCTTAGTTAAATGCTTTAAAAACCCAAATTCGACTCTACTGTCCGAATCCTCCCAAACATAGCATAATTTCAAAAATTAATTAGAACTGGATTAAACTTCAAAAGGCTATGGCTAAATTAAATGAAAAATTTCAAAAAAATATTATTTTTCAAATATCATTTTACAAAAATATCATATTTTTACAATTTTTACAAAAATACCACTTTTTCAAAATTATTTATTCATTTTATCATTTATATTTGGGTTAACTATGTTGTATTATGGTTTAGTTTTGAGGATTTAAGGGGTTTTAGGGGTCAAAAGATAT